ATCACATCTCCTGCTCCATGCTTCATGGTGGGCACCATGCATGTAGAGACCATGCGTTGACCTTTTCTGCGTCGCACGAAGACACTGCAGGTGGAACCAGAGATCTCAAATTTGGACTCACAGACCAAAGCACGGATTTCCACTGGTCTAATGCTCATTCCTTTGTTTCTTGGCCCAAAAAATCTCTTCTGCTGGTTGCTTTTCCTTTGTCCTGGTTTCTTAACAGCTCTTTGGCCATAAAGGCCTGATTCACACAGTCTCATCTGTCTCCACTGAGCGAGCACACCTGTGATGTGAAAAGTATTTCATCATGATTCTCACTGAGCCAAGGCTTTGCAGCACAGTCAAAAGGTGTGAGATCAGTATTTTAAATAAGGTTATCTTATACCCATAGTCAAGGTAGACGAATTATGTTAAACAGCTGTAGAACATAAATATATTCCTTAGTCTAGGTTGTGTGCAAAGTATGTAACTTAGTTTTCCTTATATTTTTAGGTTAAAGAACATGACCCTCTTCGCAGTATATTTTGGTAGTATGTTAGACAAAAGTTCAAGTATATCTTTGGGGATTAAAAGAATGTGACCATCTTTGGGTTCTGTTAGACAGGTGGGCGCCACCATTTATCTGCTGTGAATGTTTTACACTCTTTTCTTGTCATGTCAGACTGCTTAAATCATTTCTGAGAATGTTGTGTGCGAAGGACCTTGGGGCCGGTAATAGCAAAAGCAGACAACATTCTGTGCCCCCACCCTTGTAGGAGGTAGAAAGACAGGGAGCCCGAGGTCATAACTTAGGCGCCACGACAGATAAGAGAGACTGTGAATGTTTAGGTTTACGACCAGGTGGGGGCCAGTAGAAAGTATAAAAAGCTGTGTAACACACCACCATTTTGAGACTTGCTGTGACCCTCTCATGCATCTCTCCCCATCCGGATGGTTTTTATGCTCATTGTGTGAAAATTGTATGGAAATAAAGGATTGTTGATTGAGCATTTATACACCGAGTATTGTCCTTCCTTCAGCCCAAAGATTCAAAGAACTGGGAGATTTCAACAAAGGCAAAAGCTACTTTCAGGGATCTATAATATAAGACATATTTAGAGTTATTCATCAACTTTCTTTTTGCTACATAATTCCATATATCTCGTTTCATATATTAAATGTCTTCAGTTTGTATCTACAATGTAGAAGGTCGTAAAAAATTAAGAACCATTAAATCAGAAGATGTGTCCAAACTTTTGACTGGTAGTGTATATAATTACATGATCAACAATGAGATGAGAGACTTTTTGTCATGGCTGGGGCAGCAGACATGTGGTGGAGTTAAATGAGGACCCAAGATGCAGGAAACGGCTAGATGCAGGAGAGTGTTTGTTTACAAAGGGTGAAATATAAACAGAAACATGGGTGGCGAGGACTGCACAAAGACACAACCCTAAACTGGGAAAAACGAATAAACCTGGAGCACGAGATGAGAACAGACAGACACGGAGTAATACCAACTAACGCTGAGTAACACAGAGTAATGCAGACGATGCGACAAGAAACACAGGCAGACAGACACTATAAATACACACGAGGTAATGAGGGGATGACACACAGG